AGTGATCAAAAATGAGGAAAGACTAAGAAATTTTCACAGGAATGTAGACTGAACAATCTAAGGTGACAAGATAACTAAATACAATGCAGTATCCCAGACTAGATCTTTGAATAGAAAATGGATGTTAGTGGAAAAACTAGTTAAATAAAATCTGACTAATGTACCTGGCGTGCTGTAGTCCATGGAGCCGCAGAGAGTCAGACATGACTTAGAGACTGAACAACAATGTGCCAAGTTTTAACTAATGTACCAATGCTGGCTTTTCAGTTCTGACACACATATCAAGGTAATATAAACTAACAACAGGGAAAATTGAGAGAAGGATATCCTGGAAGAGTCTGTAACTATCTCTATAACTTTCTATAAACCTAAAATAAACCACAAATTTTTTAAAGTTTATATATATATATTTTTTTTTTAATTAGGAGAAAGCTTTCTGACCTCAAGCAAGTGTTCTCAGACATGGCACCAAAAGCATGATTCATAATGTAAAAACCTGATAAACCAACTGCATCAAATTTTTAAAACTTTATTCTGGAAAAGACACTAATAAGAATGAAAAGATAAATTACTGTCTAGAGAAAATATTTGTATTTAGAATATATTAAAAAAACTCTCAAAACACAACAATAAGAAAACAACTCAATTAAAAAGTGGGCAAAAGACTTGCAGACATTTCACCATAGAGTATATTCATGGCAAATCAACACATAAAAGATATTTAAAATTAAAATTAGGATGAGATATTCTCATTCTAACAACACATCTGTTAGAATGCTGCTGCTGCTGCTAAGTCACTTCAATCGTGTCTGACTCTGTGCGACCCCACAGACGGCAGCACACCAGGCTCCGTCGTCCCTGGAATTCTCTAGGCAAGAACACTGGAGTGGGTTGCCATTTCCTTCTCCAATGCAGCAAAGTGAAAAGTGAGAGTGAAGTCGCTCAGTCGTGTCCGACTCTTTGCAGCCCCATGGACTACAGCCCACCAGGCTTCTCTGCCCATGGGATTTTCCAGGCAAGAGTACTGGAGTGGGGTACCATTGCCTTCTCCGAAAAATAGCTAAAACTAAAAAAACTGACACCAAGTGCTATTGTGGATACAGAGCAACTGAAACTCTCATATGTTGTTAGTGGGAATGCAAAATGGTACATCACTTTGGAAATCAGTTTGGTTGTTTCATATAAAGTTAAATATACACTTAGCATGTGACTGGGCTTCCATGTGACTTAATCACACCCTAGGTACTTACCCAAGTAATCTAAAAATATATTTTCATATAAAAGATCTACACACAAATATTTACAGCAGCTCTACTCATAAACATCCAAGAAATAGATCTATTATCCATCAACAGGGGAATGAGTAAACAAACTATCCCTACACTAGAATACTACCAATAGAAAGGAACAAACCATTGATACAAAATTACTTCAAATGATCTCAAAAGTATTATGGTGAGTGAAAGAAGACAGTCTCATATGGTTACTATTTGATTTCATCTCTATGAAACTCCCGGAAGGTCAAAACTTACAGTGACTAAGAACATGTTCAGTTCAGTTCAGTTCAGTCCAGTCCAGTCACTCAGTCATGTCCGACTCTTTGCTAGTGACTGCCAAATATTAGAATGGAGAAGAGGAGTTTGGGGGAGGTTATAGAACTATCCTATACTAGGTGGTAGCAACTTTAAAAACTATAGGGGACTTCCCTGGTGGTCCAGTAATTAAGAATCCACCCTGCAATGCAGGGGACATTGGTTCAATTCCTGGTTGGGGAACTAAGATCTCACATGCTCCCAGGACCACACACTCTGGAGCCTATACACTGTAAAACACACACACACAAAAAAAAGATTCCAAGTACTGCAACTAAGACTCAATACAGCCAAATAAATAAATATTTTTAAAAACGTGTATACAAATGCACACGAAAAAAGAAAAACCTGAAAGCGTTAGTCGCTCAGTTATGCTGACTTTTTGCAACCCTATGTACTGTAGCCCTTTAAGCTCCCTGTCCATGGAATTTTCCAGGCAAGAATACTAGAGTAGCCATTCCCTTCTCCAGGGGTCTTCCTGAGCCAAGGATTGAACCTGGGTTTCCTGTATTACAGGCAGATTCTTTACCATCTGAGCCACCAGGGAATGTACATGGTACCATTATTTTCACTCTAATAGCAGAAAGCGAAGAGGAGATAAGGAGCCTCTTGTTGAGGGTAAAAGAGGAGAGTGAAAAAGCTGCCTTAAAACTCAATATTCAAAAAACGAAGATTATGGCATCCAGTCCCATCACCTCATGGCAAACAGATGTGAAAAAAGTGGAAATGGTGACAGATTTTGTTTCCTTGGGCTCCAAAAACACTGCAGAGTGAATATAGCCACAAAATTAAAAGATACTTGCTGCTTGGAAGAAAAGTTACGAAAAATCTAGACAATGTATTAAAAAACAGAGACATCACTTGCCAACAAAGGTCTGTATAGTCAAAGCTATGGTTTTTCCAGTAGTCATGTATGGATATGAGAACTGGACCATAAAGAAGGCTGAGAGCTGAAGAATTGATACCTTCAAATTGTGGTGCTGGAGAAGACTCTCAAGAATCCTTTCGATTGTAAGGAGATCAAATCAGTCAATCCTAAAGAAAATCAACCCTAAAGATTCACTGGAGTGACTGATACTGAAGCTGAAGTTCCAATACTTTGGCTACCTAATGCTAAGAGCCTACTCACTGGAAAAGACCCTGATTCTGGGTAAGAATGAATGCAAGAGAAAGGGGCAGCAGAGGATGAGATGGTTAGATTGCATCACAGACTCAATGGACATGAGCTTGACCAAACCCTGGGAGATAGTGAAGGACAGATGGCTGGTGTGCCGCAGTCTGGCAAAGAATTGGACACAACTTAGCAACCGAACAACAAATGTGCTAAAGTTCAGTGAACATAAAAAAAAAAGTCCAACTTACTGTATGTTAATTTCTAAAATAAAATTTTATAAAAATGGGAACATTAAAAAACTACTAACAAGTTATTTTCATTAATACATAAATCACTAACAAGTGATTCATTAATCTAATATAAAGAAAGATTTCATGAATTCACTCAATGAATATTTAACCATGGACTATGTGTCAGTATACTTTTTTGAAATATTAAAAAGCTGAACAGAAATTATATAACAGCATTGCAATTTTGATGTATACATAATGTGTTATTATCTTATTAAATCCTCACAAATACTCTCAAAGGTACATATTATTTATTATCTTGACTTCACCAACTTAGAAACCAAATCAGCGAAATTAAGTTTTGCCCAAAGTTGCTAAGGTAATAGGTCCCTAAGCGAGAAATTAAACATCAATTTGTCTAATTCACTGCCTGGGCAAATAGTAGATCAATTAATGTTGAATGAATGAATGTAAATGCAAACTCTATGACACCATGCTGCCTTCTGATATACTTTGTCATATTAAATGTATGTACTTATATTCTAAAAGTATTTATATTCTATAAATAAAAGATAAGAAAATCTGGATGGGGACTTCCCTGGTGGCTCAGTGGCAAAGAATTTGCCTGCCAATGCAGGAGACAGGGGTTCAATCCCTGGTCCAGGAAGAGCCCACATGCCATGGAGCAACTAAGCCCATGTACCACCACTACTGAGACTGTGCTCTAGAGCCAGTCAGCCACAGCTACCGAAGCCCACGTGACCTAGAGTCTGTGGTCCACAATAAGAGAAGCCATGGCAGTAACAAGTCCACAAGTAACAAGTAGAAGCAACTAGAGAGTAGCTTCTCCTCACAGAAACTAGCGAAAAACCTGCACAGCAACAATAAATAGTACTACTAATAAACAATGGGACTATTTATGAAACATTATCCAGTTTATTGCATATGCAAATAATTTTCTTTTTTTTTATGTGTCACATAATCTACTTGATATAATAATTACTATGGAATGAAACACAGATCATCATTCTTCCCCTTCCTTAGAAATTCTTTAATTTAAAAAAAAAAAAATCAGAAGACTGACTCAGGCCAACAGAGTAAATTAAAACCAGTATACAAATTTCCTTTAACCAGGTCTTCTTTCTTGACCATATACTTATGCTTGGCCATTTTGGTGGTAGAATGTTTTAACACTAACATCTCCAAAATAAAGAGATGTTGTGAATAAATGAAAAAAATTAAAAGAACTTCAGAGAGATTATAAGGTTTTTTAAATGTGATACTCTTAAATTAACATACCACATTTATAACTAAGACACAATTGAGTTTTGATGCTATAACATAACTGAGATCAACATTTTATGTCAATTCGATTTTCAATAATACATATGAAGCTTTCTATATTTAACTGTTCTATGCTAGTCTCAGAATCATAGTTAGGTACATCCTAGACCATGACTACTGTGCAAAAAAGAGTTAACAGCCCTGTGACTACTATCCTCAGAAAGGCCTACTTGCAAGGCTGACCTTTGGCTGGTATTTGGGTTTGGGTACTTGGATTTGGGAAGAGGTCACATCATTTATCCTAACTGATAAAGACTTATTGTGCGTAAATTGTACAAACAACGTGGTTTAAACAGCAGGTTTACCTGCTTTCCTTCTAGGAGTCTGAAATTTTCTTATGTCACAGTCAGACGGTATCTCCGTGACATGTCACTAGTTAAAAATCTGAGACAGCTGAGCTTCTAACAAGTTTCTCTGATAGACAACATTTCGTACGTACTGTCACAACTTGTTGCTAAGGGAATTCAGTATGCCCTGTGTGACTCCATTAGGAAAGGACTCTTAAACACTTGAACTTCCTCCAAACTTTGCCTCAGGCACTTTTCCCCTTTGCTGATTTTGCTTTGCATTCTGTCACTGTAAGAAATCCTAGCATTAAGAGCAACTATCAATACATGCTGAGTCCTGTGTGAATTCCGAGCAAATCATCTATCTTGCAGGCACTCTGGGGGCCTCCCTGACATACATTCTAAAAGTTATCTGTGTAAAGTATATACTTACCATCTTACCAGGCAATGTGCTCTGGGAGGAAAGTCATTATTCATACACAGCAAATCTTGCATAGATTGTGGAATAACATCTATGGAAACATTTGATAATGAACAAGTGAGTACATTTATTCTAAGGCAGAATTTCACCATATAATTTAAAGACATCATTCTATAGCACGTCTTGCTAGTCCATATAGTTTTGCCATTGCTTCAGGATTTACATCTAGGGCTAAAGTTAAACTTTGGAAGGAGACCGATGTCTCTCTCTCACTCTCTCTTTTCTTAAAAAGAAAAAAAACAAAGAAGCCAGTCTATTAAAAAAAAATATATATATATATATCATTCCCATGTTTATAGTATTTTCCATTCTTCTAAATCATGACTCAAACAATTCTTCATTCCTTACTAGAAAGTCTTGGTTTTTTTGTTCTTCTTGGCATGCCCTTGTCTTTACTTTTCTTCAGAATTTATATATATAGTCTGTCAATTCTATATCACCTCCCATAGCTAGCCTTTTTTTCATCTCTAGCCATCTTAAATATTCTTGTAAAACCACTAAGAAGCTTCTCCTTTATAACCCATATATCTGGAAGTACTTGCATTACAATCCATAATCAGATACTAACATCAATGATCATTATTTATACTTGAAAATATACCATAAGTTCAAAGCATAAAAAAATGTTTATAAAAATACTTCCTTTTGCTATACAGCTATACCTGCTTAGCAAATTTATATTTTGTTAATCTGTAAGAAGAATAAATAGGAGAATACTAATGACTTGATGCTCTACTTAACTAAAGCAATAAGCAACTCAAATAATCAGTACTCAAATCTTCTGACCTCTGATAATATAATGTTAAACGTGTATCTCCAAATTAATTGGGCTGATGATTTGCTTCTAACTTCTACCATTAGTTACAGCTTCAATCACAACCAAATTAAAACTGCCCAATACTTACACATATGCAGCAACAATGCCTTAACTATCTTAAATTCATTAATTATCTCTCATCATTCCAGTCTCCTCTGTCTATCTCAGAAACACTGATTCTAAGCCTCCTTATTACAATAGCTTTTCCTTGATGTATGTTTTCTCTACAAATTAACAACACCCAAGATTTCTATACCTTGAACAGTTTCCGTCATTAATCAGCAGAATGTTGGACCCAGAAATCGCTAGGCTATTATTAGACTTCCACCAGCTGCGTATATTTCCCTCTTCCCCTTATTCCTAAAGTATACTTTCTCATATTCTGGTTTATTTTGTTGTATAATTGTCCTATCCAAGTGTATACATGGTCAAATTATCTATCCTAGTTTATGAATCTAAACGCAGATGCTATCTAATTGTTTTGTGAACATAATATATATGATAGAAAAGGTAATATAATTTTATTCCTATGTAAGAAAAGGTACAAAATATTTCAGGCTTACACTTAGAAATGATCATGTGTTTTGACCATCAAAACTTGAACACTCATTGTGCATAGTTATTTTCTGAGTGAATGAAAGAGAGTATTCGACCAGATTCAAAATTCACAATTTTTAATACCTTGCTCACTCACTATTTTATACTAGCAGATCTCAGAACAAAGATTTGGATAGTGACCTATTAAACAACTGTAAACACCATCTAACATGGGGCCAAGTACTGAAACAGGTACTTTATTTCAATAGGAAATGCAAAATTTAATAAAATTAAAATATTAACTCAGAATTAGAAATTACTGTATTTCAAGTTAGTAATAAATTATGAGATTATTCTATTTAAAAAAGACTATTTTAAAAAAAGACTATTTTAACATGGATCCTTCTCTTAAAATACCTGGTAGTGCATGTGTGACAAACTGGGAGAGTATGACTGACATGTATTCGCTACCATGTGTAGAGCAGCTAATGGGAAGCTGCTGTACAGCACAGGGAGCTCAGCTCCACGCTGTGATGGTCTAGGGGGTGGGACGGCGGTGGGAGGTTCGAGAGGGAAGGGGTGCGTGTATACATGTAGCTGATTCACTTTGCTGTACAGCATAAACTAACACAACACTGTAAAGCAATTATACATCAATAAAAATATAAATAAATGATAGCTAATATAAATTAAAATTACCTTTGCTACTTTGTAGGGGGAAGAAATAATACTCTCAGAATCCTTTATTAAGCTGCAAAGGATGTTTGCTAGCTTGAATACTAATTGCAATGCTTGTATAAGAGGCTGATAACATTAGTAATGATGAGATACACACTTATGTACAGTATCTTATTAAATCTTCCCACTTACCCTCCAGGTAGTATTACTTTATTTTACAAATGAGATCAGTCAAGCTTAGAAAGGTCAAGTAATAGTAAGTAGAAAAACCAGAATTTTAATCCACTTGATCTGTCTCCAAAGCCTGAGGCATACACAAAGCCAACACTGACTAATCAATAAACAACTTTCAAAAATTCTTCAAAGCCCAGCTTAGTTACTTAATTCTCCATAACATCTTCTCTGATCTCTCTGGATTAAAATTGATCTTTTCTCCCCTGAACTCCAGTAAAACTCTGTGCTTTGGGATAGCATTTATCACTTTTTACCTCTTATTATTGTTACTTACCTATAGACTTTATCTCCCCTACTGAAATGTACATTTTCTCAATTGGACTTAGCACAGAACCTAGCACATGTTTGGTTGGTTGTGTCCAACTCTTGCAACCCCATGGACTGTAGCCCGCCAGGCTCCTCTCTGTCCATGGGATTCTCCAGGCAAGAATACTGGAGTGGGTTGCCATTTCCTTCTCCAAGGGATCTTCCCAACCCAGGAATTGAACCTAGGTCTCCTGCATTGCAGGTAGTTGATTCACCAACTGAGCTATGAGGGAAGCCCTAGCACATGTTAGGTACTCTACAAATAAATGATTTAACTAATTTAAAAATGAATGATGCTATGATAATTACTCTGCAAAAATCATACTCTATTTCAGGTGTGGTGAAACAACTGTGCATATGTAAAACATCTCCAGAGAATGCTATTTAATTAAGTGAACTAAATTCATAATTCAAAATTAAAATCACTCTTACAAGAGTTTAAAAATATATAGTGAAAACTTACCTTCTGGTACTTCATCCTTTCCTTCTTTATCAGTGGATTCTTGTACAAGATAATGATGAGTGACCGAAAACTTAAAGTCTGCAAAGGAAATCTCATCGGATTTCTCTTCCCATGTCCCAGAAGTAAACACACCCTGCATTTCACAGAAAAACAAAAAAGGAAAAAACAACCGCCTTAACATATTCAATAGTTAGCATTAGTTTTTTCACCACAGATCTTTTTTATTTTTCACCATAGATCTGTCCCCTTTTTCTGCCCCTTAATCTAAAAGCTTCATCCTATATTTATCCTCCTCAAAAGGGAAAAGGGAAAACATACAAGTGAATAAACCAAGAGAAAATTATTTATAAGTGATTTATCACAATGATCCTTTAAAAAGAAAATTTCCCTAGAAAATTAACTATCAAGTGACTAACAAAACTATAGTTTTCAAGTAATCAAGTAATTTTGGTAAGATGAGTCTCTATATAAAATAATGAATATATAGTAAATCCCATGCCTCTTCACACACCAAAAAAAAACCCCAACTCTACCAACAGCAGAATCTGAGTACCTTTTAACAGAAAATGGTTAAATTTTATGAATTTTAAAAATTAGAAAAAATACGTAACAATAAAACATTTATTATAAAAACCTCAAATCTAATAACATCACAATGTATTCCACAGCATTGTTGGAGATCAGAAATTGCTTCAGAAACAAGCAAATTTGTAAAATCAATTTAAGTGGCATGACATCTGTAGCATTTATTTGCTGAACAGGTTCTGTGAGTTTCTTTATTGAGCTCTGGCATTCAAATATTTTCATTTAAATATCAACTTGATTGGAAAACATTTTAATTAAAAGTTTCAAACAGCCCCCTTACTTACATAATATAATCATAAAAAATGATTTTTCCCACAAAGCTTCTAGTCTCCCATTGCTGTTATCTCCACTGGAGAAGTCTATAGGCATTACAGCACAGCGCCACCAAGAGGCAGAAATGCCAACTCAGCAACTTCCAAGTACAGAGAGCCCCAAACTGATAAGAAATGTGAGGAATGATTCTGTGAGTCACTGAGTTCTTAAAAGTGTTCTTTGGACTGTACCTATCATATAACATCTGGCAATTTTATGTATTCTTGGAAAGGTATGTAAAATTATGAATCTTTTTGGGAGGAGAATAACCACCACGTAACCTGCATATCATAGAAAACTAACCAAACTGATCACATGGATCACAGCCTTGTCTAATTCAATGAACTATGAGCCATGCCATGTAGGGCCACCCAAGACGGATGGGTGATGGTGGAGAGTTCTGACAAAACATAGTCCACTGGAGAAAGGAATGGCAAACCATTTCAGTATTCTTGACTTGAGAACCCCATGAACAGTATGGCAGAAAATGAGGAAATAAAGAGCCTCTTGATGAAGGTGAGAGAGGAGAGTGAAAAAGTTAGCTTAAAACCAACATTCAAAAAACTAAGATCATGGCATCCAGTCCCATCACTTCATGGCAAAGAGATGGGCAAACAGTGGAAACAGTGACAGACTTTATTTTCTTTTTTTTTTTTTCAGACTTTATTTTCTTGGGCTCCAAAATCACTGCAGATGGTGATTGCAGCCATGAAATTAAAAGATGCACGCTCCTTGAAAGAAAAGCTATGACCAACCTAGACAGCGTATTAAAAAGCAGAGACATTACTTTGCCAAAAGGGGTCCATATAGTCAAAGCTATGGTTTTTCCAGTAGTCATGTATGGTTGTAAGAGTTGGACTATAAAGAAAGCTGAACACCAAAGAATTGATGCTTTTAAACTGTGGTGCTGGAGAAAACTCTTGAGAGTCCCTTGAACTGCAAGGAGATCAAACCAGTCCATCCTAAAGGAAATCAATTCTGAATATTCATTTGAAGGACTGAGGCTGAAGCTGAAACTCCCAATACTTTGGCCAGCTGATGGAAGAGCCAACTCATTAGAAAAGACCCTCATGCTGGGAAAGACTGAAGGCAGGAGAAGGAGATGACAGAGAGTGAGATCATTGAATGGCATCACCAACTCAATGGACATGAGTTTGAGCAAGCTCCAGGAGTTGGTGAAAGACAGGGAAGCCTGGTGTGCTGCAGTCCATGGGGTTGCAAAGAGTCAGACACAACTGAGTGACTGAACAATAACATACTACATATCAAAAACTATGATTTTTTTTTAATATGTTAGGTTTCTTTAAACTGAGGTTAACCCGTGTTAAATTAAGATACCTAGAACCTGAACCAAAAGTCTCAAACTGCAATAAGCAGTAATGATACACATAAGAACTTGGTTTGCTAGGAGGAAAGCACACTATAAAGCAGTGAAATCTAAAACTAAGGTAGGGGGAGAAGTCCAGAAAATGAGAGATAAGTCCCATTTCAAGCTTGCAAAAAAGCTGAAAAAAAAAATTTTTTTTTTTTAATTGAAATGTACTTGGTTTACAATGTGTTAGCTTCTGATGTATAGCAAGGTGATTCAGTTATACACATTTTTATACTCTATTCCATTATGGTTTATTACAGGATATTGAATACAGTTCCCTGTGCTATACAATAGGACCCTGCTGTTTACCCATTCTATATATAATAGCTTGTATCTGCTGGTCCCAAACTCCCAACCAACCCTCCTCTACCTCCCCTCCCCCTTGACAACCACAAGTCCGTTTTCTATGATTTCAGACTGTTTCTGTTTCATATGTGTCATATTTTAGACTCCACATATAAGTGATATCATATGGTATTTGCCTTTCTCTTTCTGATTTGCTTCACCTAGTATGATAATCTCTAGATCCATCCATGTTGCTACAAATGACATTATGAAATATTCTTTTAAAAAAATGAGACAAAAGTGGACTTGCCTGGTGGTCCAGTGGTTAAGACTTGGCAATTTCCACTGCAGAGGGCATATGTTCGATCCCTGGTCAGGGAACTAAGACCGTGCATGCCTCATAGCACCGCCAAAACAATTTTTTGTATTAAATAAGTAAAATAAAAATTTTAAAAGAAAATATATTTATTAAAAAAACTAGGTTTTTTAAAAATGATACAAATAAACATCATTTGATCCTACTCCTGTATTCTAGGTACCATGACTGTCAACCTTACCAAACAGCTATCTCAAGATGGATTTGGTTATATTTGACATAGAGGACATCCACATTCTGTATGCAGAACAAACTTAAGATAATTTAGCTTGATTGAAAAATAACACTCCAACCTCCCTCTTTCAATTCCACTGATACAGTCACTTGTAAAGAGTATATTTACTATTAGAACCAGAAAGGTCAACTTTTAGTTCAGAATTAATCTAATAATTCAAATATAACTTCTGATGGCCCTACTCAGACAATAAAAAGAAATAAGCACACAGACTGGAAAGAAATAAAACCATCTTCTTTCACCAATGGTCTGATTATGTACATAATATGTCCAAAGAAATCTACAAAGTACTAAAACTAATGATTTATGAAGTTGTGGAATTCAAGGTCAGTATACAAAAATCATCTGCATACACACACACACACACCCCAAGCAAACACTTGGGAAATGAGTATCTTTTAAAATATTTTTTAATATTTTAAAATTAAGAAAAAAATTTTTAAATATCATTTATGACATCAAAAAAATCAAATATCTATGGCAGAGACTCAATGAAAGATGAACAAGAACTCTACCTAAAAATACCTCAAAGTATTGCTAAAAAGATATTAAAGACCTAAACAGAGATACCATGTACATAGATTGGAAAACACAACACCATTAAGATGTCAATACTAATCAAATCCAATCAAATCCTAATCAATATCCCAGCAGGCATTTTGTAAAGACTAACAAGCTGATTCTAAAACTAATATGAAAATCCAAAGAACCTAAAGTAGCTAAAATAATTTTGATGAAAAAGTATACTATCTGATTTTTAAGATTTACCTTGCTACAGCACTTAAGACAGTACAGTACTGGCATAAAGACAAATAGATCAATGAAACGTAACAGATAATCTAGAAATATATTCACACTCATACATCATTTTACAACAAGGGAACCACTACAATTCAGGTAGGGAAAGGATGGTCTTTTCAACAAATGAGTCTGAAATAATTAGATATTTATATGAAAGAGAACACAACCTTTGTGTTGTGAAGGAATACCTTCACAACCTTGAAATAGGCAAAAGATTCATTTGATAGGACACAAAGGTTACTAAACAGTAAGATCAAAACTGAAGAAATAAATTTCACTAAAATCAACATACTTATCAAAAGACACAATTAAGGAAATGATTAGGGAAGCCACGGGCTAGTGGAAAGACTCAAAATACATTTATCTGACAAGAGTCACAACCAGGACATATGAGGCTAATTTTTAAAACTAAACAATCCAATTGTTTTAAATGAGCAAAATACTTGACAGGCACTTCCCAAAAGAAGCTATGAATGACTAATAGTTAACTGTGATGAATTATGAGATTATACTGAATATCAGCAGTCATCAGTGAACGGCAAATTAAGATCACATTAAGATACCACTTCACACCCAATAGGATGACTAAAAATGAAAATCTGACAATGCCAATTGTCAGAATGTTGAGCAACTTGAAATTTCACACACTGCTAAGAATATGGTACAACCTCGTACTTTAGAATAGTCTGACAGTTTCTAAAAAAACTGAACACAAGACCCAGCAATTCTGCTAAGAATATAATCAAGAAAAAAATCAAAGTATAAGTTTACCAAATCATCCCCAGCAGCTTTATTAGTATTAAAAAAAGAGACAATTTAAGTGTCTATTAATAAGAAAATGGATAAACATCCTGTGGTACAATCATGCAAAGAATGGCATGTGTAATACGGACAAATTTTAAAAACATGTTGAGCAAAAACTCAGACACAAGGAATGCATAGTGTATGATTTCACTTATATGAAACTCAAGAATGGATATAAAATATAGTGAAAAAAATAAGAACTTATGGGGCTTCCTTGGTGGCTCAGTAGTAAAGAATCTGCCTGCCAATGCAGGAGACACAGGTTCAATCCCTGGTCCAGTAAGATCCCACATGCCTTGGAGTAACTGAGTTTTGGGCTAGAGCCCAGGAGCCACAACTACTGAGCCCATCTGCCATAACTAC